GAAAATACAGTGTTGTACTGAGACCTGTTCACTAATTCATTTGTTTGAAGACAAGTCATTTTTATTCTGACTGAAACCAACTTTTATTATTTGCAAAATTCAGAACTTAATCTTTCACTTTATGCTAGTAGCCAAGGGCAATTTTTTTTTTTCTTTTGCGGTACGCAGGCCTCTCACTGCTGTGGCCTCTCCCGTTGCGGAGCACAGGCTCCGGACGCGCAGGCTCAGCGGCCATGGCCCACGGGGCCCAGCCGCTCCGCGGCATGTGGGATCTTCCTGGACCGGGGCACGAACCTGCGTCCCCTGCATCGGCAGGCGGACTCCCAACCACTGCGCCACCAGGGAAGCCCCAAGGGCAAATTTTGAATGCCAAATAAGTCTCATGTATGCCACCACTCCCCTTACCCTCCCCCATCATTCTTCATGGCAAACATCACTGACTGATTTTGACACTGTTTCCCACTGAACCCAGGTTTCAGACTCTGTCTCAACATATCACAGCAGGCATCCTTCATCCAGTTTTTCTTTTCCCATTAAATGGAAAATGAGACCAGCTTACATATACATAAAACGTAAGTCAGTGTTTTTCAAACAGTATAGATTTCTTTATTGCAGGATTAGTCTTCAATACTTGGATGTCTAATATGCTCTTCTAAAAGGGACTAAAATACATAGCACTTTCTCATCTCACTTGATCACAGAAACCCTTTTAAACTGAATATGCGTGAGTTCCTTGTAACACTATTTGGGAAATACTGTACTTTACCAATGGATATTTCTGATGGATATTTCTGCTTGAAGCTTCTCATGTTTATGGGTGTTCCAGGTGGTCATTCAACATTTTGTAAACATTGGTTTTTTAATTAATGATGTGGATTTGAATCATATGCTATAAGGCTGTGCCTAAGAGCCAGTCAGATAACAAGTCAGCCTAGTGTATCACACTGTATTCACATTTCAAAGAGGATTATTTTTTGCCAACTATCTTCACTGAGAATTTACTTGGAACCAAAAATATACTAAGCACCTATGTCTCATTTAAGCGGAGTGACCGTGTATCTCAGCTTATGCTGGAGGTATGCCTACCTTTTTTTTTTTTTTAATCACAATCATTAGCAGTACTCCATTTTACCATCAAAAGTGTCCTAATAGTGCCCTATTATTAATTAAATAATATTTTTACTTTTAATTCTCAAACCACCTATGCTGATGTTGGTATTGATAACCCCACATTACTAATGATTAAATAGGGCTCAGGGAAACTGGAAAACTGACTTAGTTTACATAGCTAGGATATAGGTGAGCCAATATTCAAACTACGTTGGTCTTTCCTCAAAGTTCATGCTCTTGAATACAATACTGCACTTCTCATGTAAGCACATGATGTCATTTAATATCTGTAAAATTATGTAAGAATCTGCATTTTGAGAATATTGAGGAAATCATATACTGTAATTTATATATTTGAGGCCTATTTTATTTATTTATTGGTTTTGGCCGAGCCTCACAGCTTGCAGGATCTCCGGGATCTCCCCGATCAGGGATCAAACGCATGACCCGTTCAGTGGAAGCACAGAGTCCTAACCACTGGACGGCCAGGGAAGTCCCAGGTCTATTGTATTTAGAATCTTGTTTTTGCTGTCTTTTGTGTGGCAGTCCCTGCCTTTAAAGGTCAGCTCCACAAAATAAGGAAGGCCAACAAGTATGGTTGGCAGGTACAGTTACAGAAAGTACTGCAAGGGGGGCCTCATACCAGCCCTGTGCTAATTAGCTGGGAGTGACTAGATCAGGCTCATGAGCAGACCTCTTTCCTAAATATTTACCCATTTAGAAAAGCAATATGCAGTAAAATTCAGGTAAGTCTAAGTTATTAAAATCAGACCCCCTGAGCATTAGAAGAAGGAACTCAGATGAGCAAGTGCTTAGAGCATGAATAGGATATAATAATGACTTAAGTTACAAGGTCATTTTCATTAGAATACTGAGAACAGTCTCATTTTCTAAAAATTGGAGTCTCCACTGGTAGAATAATCTAATGTTTGATTTACAAAAATGTATGAGTCATCTATTCTTTTGAGTACTTAAATGGTCCATTTAAGTTACGCCATATGCACTTCATATATGATTTATGCCATATGATTTATGCTATCACATGGGTTTCCACTTCTGGAAAATTCCATATAAAGTTAACTGTTTTTATTTTAATAACATTCTTTTAAGTGTTAATCCCATTTTACTTTATAGTGTAGATCAGAGTTTCCCAACCTCGAAGTGTTGACATTTTGGACAGGACATTTCTTTGTCTTGTAGTTTATTGGATGTTCATTAGCATCCCTTGTCTCTACACACTAGATGCCAAGAACACCTTCTCTGAAGTCATGACAATAAAAAGTGCCTCCAGATATTGCCAGATGCCCTAGTTGAGAACCACTGGTCTAGATGATGCTTCTTCTTTATCCTAGAAAACTAAGTAGAAAAGAAGGGAATTAATTTTAAACATAAAATTCTTTTGATAACATTTAATACCAGTCCAAATTTCTCTAGAAGTCAGAGTCAAGTAAATTTAAGAGGAAGGGGTTGGTTCTTGTGTACATTAAGAGTAATGGATTGGGAACAAATCCAAATCGAGGAAGGGATGATAGGAAAGATAAGGTATTTTATTACCTACTGGTTGCTCAGGCTTCCAGAATCAGCACAAAATCTTCAGAAGATTTCCCATACAGGTGTTTCCTTTCTGGCAGTGACTAGGGCTCTTAGACAAATGCCCCAAATCTCCAAGGAAAGCTCACATCTTCCTAGTCTACTAGTCTAGATCCTGACATATGATCTCTTCCATCACTAAAAACAAACTTCTGTAGCGTGGCTCAAATTTGATAGACAGTATTCTGTATGTTAAGAATAAAACCCAGAGATTAAAAAATATTGCTTCCTTCTGGACATCCTTATCTGGGATCATTCCTAAATTTGGATTACCCTTCCTCCGCCTTTGCATTTCTCTACTTTTCATCTCTTCCTTCAATGCAACAGGCATGATGTGAACTTCTCTGATCCCCCAACTCCAAACTTCTCTGTCTTCTATGATCTGGACAAGCCTAATAAGTCAAGGAGGGGAGGGACCATGGTTCAGGAGTCATAGGGAGGACCTCAGTTATTTTTGGTTCTTTTCTTCCCTTTCATTGTGATGACAAAGTAATAAGATTTCAAGGACCAGAGTATCTAGGGAAAGTGACTATTAAAGGGGCTTTTTGCCATGCTTTTATTCTAAACTAGCCCAGTTCAGAAGGATAGAACTTAGAGGTGCTGACTTTAGATTTCTTTCCATGTTAAAAAACTGAATAACATTCATGCTTTATCTCCCACTTCCACCCTGAATTGGGTCTCAGGTAAGAAATGATCTAATTGCTTTGTAATTAGAAAAGTTGACATTTTACCTGTTACTGGATTTCATGTTTTTAATAAGAATAAAGTTGACAGTGGAATTGTAGGCACCAGTCACAGGCCTATATGAAAATTCTTACTTTAGAGATAAGAGACACATTTGAATTTTATAGATGAAAAAAATTATAGAAAAGCAGTTGGTTTTCCTATTGCGTTTCATGACTCTTTGGGTGGGACAATCCATAGAAATGGGGGCTCAGTATGTGGAAGGGCATTCCATTTCTTGAAAGCTTAGATGTGAAACTATGGACCAAATATCCAAATGTCATAATCAAGAAGCACCTTCCATTAGGGATTGATCAAACTACTATGTTATTTTTTAAAACTTGAGCTTAAGAGTGTTAATGGTCATGAGAAACTTATGGGCAATGTTTTGCAGAATCACTTAAAATATATATCCCTATAAATCACTGTTTAGAAGCTAGAAAAAAATCATTTGTGTGTTTACTTTATGGGCCCTACACAGTGAAATCAAAAAATATTTGGTAGACTTCTCTCTGTAAACTGGTAAGCAGAAGAATTTAGTGGTTAATTCTCATACATTTATTTTGAAAAGTCAGACATAGCCTTAAACATTTATTTAATTTGCAGCAACTGTGGGTAGAAATCATAGAATGATAAAACCGCATTCTATTCTAAGCTCATAAATTGCTTCTAAGAAGTGGGATGATGAAATTATAAGCCTTTTAATAGAGAATATAGGTTGTGGAAATGTATATTAATTTGAGACACAGAAAGTTAAAAAAATAATGTTCTCAAGGTTATATGCAAACAGGCTCTAAAAAAATGGAAGGTTGCTGCAAACATGATGTGACAATAATAATTAGAGCTCTGAATGTGAGAAATTCAGAAAATAGACCCCCCACTGGAAAAGCAAATATGTACAAAACAAATTTGTATTTTTTATGCTTATTCTAAGTGTAGCGGGGAGTAAACGATTAAGGTTAGCCCATTAAACAGGCCCAGTAGCTTTGCTACAGAGCATTTAACTTCTCTGCTCTTGTTTTTCTTCAATTTTAAAAATGGGAAATAGCTGCTTCAGTGGCAAAGTGCATTGTAAAACGCAAGAATATTCAAAGTATTCAATTGCTCTACAGCATTCAATTTTAATGTTGATATACTCATCTGAAGCGGGTATAATGCCAATAAATTGTGGCAATAACAAATTCTGAAATTCAAAAGCTTGCTTCTGCTTTCATAGTATAGATTTGTCCTGAAGACAGCAGGCAATCCAATGCAAGCTTGCTTCACCCAGAAGATGTCTGCAGATTTTTGAGTTTTATTATAATAACCTGAAAATAAGATCACAGGAAATGTATTAGTGAAAAATGGATCATCATCTGAAATTGATTACCTAGCATAAAACCACCCCTATAATAAATCTTTCTAAAGAACAGTCACCTTTACCTTGAAAAATACACATGTTTATCCTTTCAGGAGAAGACAATGAAATATTTAAGGTATTCTGTTTGCTAGACAAATGATTCCTTCAAGTTCCTAATAAGCCTGCTTTAGGTTTTCTAAAATAATACAGCTGATATATAGCTGATATTTTACCTTGTTTAGTGATCTTTCCTGCAACAGAAACCAAATTCCTTTTCAACTTGGAGTCGAGCAGGAAGCTAAGGAAAAAAAAAATAGAGTTAGCATTTCTTCATTTTAAGGCTGAACAAAGAAACGTGATAAAGTCATAGTTGCCTTTCACAGTCACAGAAAAACAGCTTTGTAGAGGCAACTGGCAAGACAGTCCTCCGTCTTTAAAGGGAAGAGTCATTGTAAAGCTCAACTACATCAAAGTCCTTCAGTTCAAATTTTATTTTCTTTTTGAGGGAGAATAGCCTAAGCGTTGGGAATTTGTATTCTTTTCCTCTTATCCAAACTCTTGCTCTCAAGATCGTCCTCCAGATCTTGTAGAATAATCTTTGTTTAACAAAGATATTTTCATAAGCTCCTGGGCTAGGTGGTACCTCACAATTCTGCTACAGTCAAATGAGTCTCATGAGTCTGTGTGCTGTAGACCCATTAGGTCCATATGTGCTGTAGACCCATTAGGTCTGTAGCTCATTGGTGGGCCACAGAATGATCCAGAAATGCAAATACTTGAAGCAGTTCTTAAGGGTGAATGACTTTTATAATTACGTATGATTTATTTGAAGCATAAGAGAGCTTAAGGGGTTATTAAAATTTGGTAAACTAAAACAGGTTTGTTTTGGGCCCTAATTCTGGATTTTAGCAAGAAATCCAGCTGCCAGATGACTCTGGGTAACAGTGCAAATGTCCTACATCACATACGTAGATAGTTGGAATAGCATGATTTTTTTATGAAGAAAAATTTGTGGACAGGACATCAGTGGTGTTGTCTTGAACTGGTCTTGGTTTTCCATTGCTGCTGTCTCTCCTTAGTGTTATTTCTGGCTTCTTGTTAGCAATTTACTTTCGGTTAACTTTACAATGTGAAGTAATGCATATTTATATGAACAATATTTTGGCATTACATTTTTTCTTAACACTAGACTTTAAGGATTGTATAAATTGTGGTTCAGATAGGCTCATCATTTTCCTTTTGCTAAAGAAGATGTGTTTATAACTCCTCTAAGATTTATCTGGTCTGTTGAATTCATCCACACTTTGGCCTCGGTGCCTTTTTCCTTTGAGTTCTTTCTTTGCTTTTTTCAGAACAGTTAATTTCTTTAAATTATTGCTCATGGATTTTGCACACAAATGCTTATGTGACCTATTTAGTTCTCATTTGTTGGAATGTCTCAAAGCATAGTCAGCATAGAAGGCTTTCATATTCTTTCTCAACAAAGAATTCTTTTTTGCATTTTATAAAAATGAAGATATATACAACCCACCTTATTGCCAAAGGGTATGTTATATGACACGTTTTCATTGTGGGCATTTTCATTACCTAGAAATACAAACTCTGTTACTATCTCTTCACTTGTTCACACATTTAATAATTCCTTTATTCAGCACTTAAAAAATATATATGCAAAGAATAGGATATGGGTAAAGAGAAAAAATATTAAAGAGATCAAAAAGGGCATATTTAAATAGCACCCTTGACAAGTATGTATTAATTTCTCCTACACGTAGGGATTGACTAGAATAGGATACTCGAAGGGGTTGCTTCAGCTCAGAAACAATCCAACATCTTGGAATAACAAGCTCCACTTGATTACGCCTTTTTCTTCCTTTTCTCTTCCCCATTTACCAGAATCAGGCAATTGCAAAGCACACTTTTTTTTTTTTTTAATAAAAGTTTGTTTCTACTGCTCCACCTTGGCCCATGCTACTTCCTGCTTTTCTCACAGGTTTCTCACTTCCCATCCCAGCCACGTGCCTCTCCATTCCTGCAGTCAGCCCTGTGCTTCAAGGCTGCAGGCAGTGCTTGGAGCTCATGGGACAGCCCCCAGCTGGCCTGCAGCTCCCCTCTACCCTCCCTACCTTCTGCACCCATCCTTCCCCATCACACCGAAGGGAACCCCTCCAGCTATTGCGTGCCATTCCAATTTCATTTGTTCTATCAGCATCTCCCACTTATCAAGCAGTTAGCTCCATTTACACAAATCATCATCTGTTTTTATAGTAATCTCCACGATAGAATTCTTTTTTTTTTAACATCTTTATTGGAGTATAATTGCTTTACAGTGGTGTGTTAGTTTCTGCTGTATAACTAAGTGAATCAGCTATACATATACATATATCCCCATATCCCCTCCCTCTTGCGTCTCCCTCCTTCCCTCCCTATCCCACCCCTCTAGGTGGACACAAATCACCCAGCTGATAGAATTCTTATCTGCATTTTACAAATGAGGGAACTGGGGCTTAAAGAGTTTAAGCCAAAGGCCACAGCTAGTAAGTCATGAAGAGCCAGGTCAGAGTTCAAAGCAGGTGCTTCTTTTACTATATCACAACGCCTCTAGCATTGCTGTTCTAGAATCATCTCATTTATTTTGGATGTCAAGTGGTTTTGCTTACAAATATAAAATCTCTGTGAGTTTTTACAGTGACCAGCTTAATCACATTAGGTTTACATTAATATAAAAGTTGGTTTACTATGAACTTTGTTTTAGTCCTAAATCCTATAAACACCAGACACTTACCATTGGGATGGTGCACAATGGTGAGCTTATCTACAAGACAAAAAAAGCACATTCTACTGAGTTTTGCTCAATATTTATCTTAAGGTTGCTTCTTCTTCTTGTTTGACTACTTTTGTCCTTGAAGTGACTATGTAATTTCACAATGTGATTTAAAAAATACTAACCTCCAGCCACTAAGTGTGAAACTATGTCTTTTTAAATTTTTGTCTTTTTTCCTTCTGACACTTGTCCCACATTATTATGATTTTATATATATTTGACACTTAATAAAAGCTTCCTACTCTGCTTTTTTGTTGTTGTTGATGAATTCTTTTTTTAAAACAATAGATCTTTATTGGAGTATAATTGCTTCACAATACTGTGTTAGTTTCTGTTGTACAACAAAGTGAATCAGCCATATGCATACATATATCCCCATATCCCCTCCCTCTTGAGCCTCCCTCCCACCCTCCCTATCCCACCTCTCTAGGTCGTCGCAAAACATCAAACTGACCTCCCTGTGCTATACAGCAGCTTCCCACTAGCCACCCATTTTACATTTAGTAGTATATACATGTTCATGGTACTCCTACTCTGCTTTGATATTCTTTTAGCCTGAGGTATTCAAGTATTTTTAAAAATTAACCTTATTCAGAACTACTTATATACAGTACAAGTCACACATTTTTAAGTGTATAGGTTGATGACTCTTGACAAATCTATACAGCATATACCCATCACCCCCATTAGCACAGAGAACATTTCATCTCCACAGAAAACTCCTTTGTGCCCCCTTACCTCAATTCTCACCCACCATTACCCCTGATGGCCCCTGAGCTGATTTCTATCTCTATAGATTTGTTTTATCTAGAAGTCCAGATAAATGGGATCTTACAGCAGGTATTCTTCTGTGTCTGGTATCTTTCACTCAGCATAATATCTGTGAGATGCATTCTGGTTGTGTGTGTGATAGTAGGTATCCATTTTTACTGCTGAGTAGTATTCCATTGTGTGAATATATCACAATATAATTACCTAATCTATTGGACATTTCGATTGTTTCCACTTTGGCTATTATGAATGAAACTGCTATGAACTTTCATGAACATGTTTTTGAATGAACATATTTTCCATCTTTTCTTTCTCTTGAATAGCTAGGTTATCTATCGACAGTAAGTGCATATTTAATATTTCTGAAGTCGTCACAACACTTTATACTCCCATCAGCAATGCATGCAGTGCATGTCCAGTTCTTCCACATTCTAATTGCTTAACTTTGACAATATTAAAAAATTGTAGCTATATTTGTTGTGTATTGGTACCTCAGTGTAATTCAATTTACTTTTTCCTGATGATTAATGATGTTGAGCATGTTTTCACATGCTTATTAGCTATTTTTCTTTTTGTGAACTAAGATCTAGGTACTAGATGTGCTCACTGTTGCTGGGCTGTCATTGTTTCTAGGTGCTCTCAGCAGACAGAGCTTAGGAAATATATATACAACTATATTTCTGTATTTATGTGTAACATATATATTGGGTTGGCCAAAACATTCATTCAGGTTTTTCCATATGATCTTATGGAAAGACCTGAACAAACGTTTTGGCCAACCCAATATTAACAACCATGAGTTGTTATGCTTTTACCTCCAATTCCAATCCAATACTACAAGATTCATTCTGGGCTTCCTTCTTTCCTTAGTTGTAACTCCTTTCTCTGACAATAGGAAACCTGGCTCTCATTATCAATAGTGAATTTATTTGTTTACTCAATGCTAGAATATACATAAAGTAGTTTTGAAATTGCTAAACTATACCCCTGTAGAGAAATAAGACCTACTAACTGGAGTATAGAATACAATTTTTATGTACTGTTTTTTTTTTCTTTTAATTTTAGTCTTAGAATATGCTGTTTTCTAAATTTATTTGTTTTTTTTTCCTATCCCCCTTTAGTGTGGATATGTTATTTATTTGTAATATTGCTAGGTTCATTTTCTTCTGCTTATATTCCATCTTGTCCCCTTCTCAGTCCCATCCTAGTTTGTTGAATATGTAAAACATTAACAAAGTTCTAAAAGTCAGACTACAAATAGATTTACTCACAGAAGTGTAGGGTTTTTCTTTTCTTTCCCCTTTGGAGTCAGGTTTGGTAAGTTTTATTTTTAATTAATTTGCTCTTTTTGTCTGAGTTGTTTAATATATTGGCAAAAACTTAATTACATCTCCTTAGAATCTTTTTAATGTCTGTAGGATCTGTTGTGATAGCCTAACTCCTGATATAGGTAACTCTTGCTTTCTCTTTTTTGCATGATCATTTTTGCCATGGGCTTATCAATTTCATTTACATTTTTAAATAACTAATTTTTGGTTTTGTTAATTTTCTCTATTATTTCTCTGTTTCATTGATTTTTTTTTTTTTTTTTTCTTGCGTTATGCGGGCCTCTCACTGTTGTGGCCTCTCCCATTTGTGGAGCACAGGCTCCGGACGCGCAGGCTCAGTGGCCATGGCTCACGGGCCCAGCCGCTCCGCGGCATGTGGGATCTTCCCGAAACGGGGCACGAACCCGCGTCTCCTGCATCGGCAGGCGGACTCTCAAGCACTGCGCCACCAGGGAAGCCCCATGTTTCATTGATTTTTGATCTTATTATTTTTTCCTCTCAGCTCTTTTTGGATTTAGTTGCTTTTCATTTTCTAGTTTCCTAAGGTGGAAGCTTAGGTCATTGATCTTAAATTTTTCATCTTTTCTATTTTCACATTTATAGCCATATACTTCCCTGTAAGTGCTGTTTTGGTTGCATTCCACAATTTTGTAATGTTGTGTTTTCATTATCATTCAGGTTGAAATATTTCCTTGTGATTTCTTATTTGACCCCATGGGTTATTTTGAAATGTTGTATTTAATTCTTAACTATTTTGAGAGATTTTTTTCTAATTTCTTAATTAAATTCTAATTTATTTCTGTGTGGTAAGAGATAAAAGATTTCAAAAGACTGAACTCTTTCAGAGAACATACTCTGAAGATTTCAGTCTTTTTAAATTTATTGAAAAATTTTGATAGTCCAGTATGTGTTCTGTCTTGCTGAACTTTCCATGTACACCTTAAACAAACATGTATTCTGAATTTTTTTTGATGCCCTGTTCTGTAAAGTCAATTAGGTCAAGTTTGTTGACAGTGTTGTTTAGATCTTCTATATTGTTACTGATTTTTTTCTATTTCTTCTATCAATTACTAAGAAATAGGTGAAAACATCTCTGAGTACTATCAAATTTTGCTTCATGAGTTTTGAGAAAACTCATAAATACATACACAGTTTAAGGTACACAAATATTTAGGATTTTTATATCTTCCTAGTGAACTGCCCTTTTGTCAGTTTGTAATTTCCTCTTTTGTCTCTTGTAATACTCTTTGTATTGAAATTCATCTTGTCTTGTATTGATATAGCCATGCCAGCTTTCTTATGCTTACTATTGGCATGGTAGATCTTTTACCAGCTTTACTTTTAACCGATCTCTGTCTTATATTTAAAATGCATGGCCTTTAGATAGCACAAAGTTAGGTATTACTTTTTTATCAGGCTGGAAAATGTCTACCTTTTAAATGATACTTTTAATCTATTTACATTTAACACAATTATTGATATGACTCAGTTTAATACTAACATCTTGTTCTTGGTTATTTACTAATCCATTTTGTTTATGTTTTTGCTACTTTCCTGCTTTACTTTTTGGTGAATCAAATAGCTTTTCAGTGTTTCATTTAATTTCCTCTATTAGTTTCTTTATCTGTCTGTCTATCTATCATCTATCTACTTTATAACTAAGATATGTACCATTAACGTACAGTCTGTTTAGAGACAATAGTGTACTTCTTCATGCTTCATGTCTTACACTTGACACTTCATCTTTCTTACCTTAATCTTTCCTCTTCTTTATAACTGATTCTTTATATTCCATACTTGGAACTACATGTTACAAAAATTTTGCAACCATGTAATTCCACTTACCTTCACCCTCTGTATTTGCATAATTGTTTTCACATCTTTTCCTTCTTCATATGCTATAATCCCTAATTTAAGTGTTACTATTTTGCTTTAAACAGTTGTTTTTGAAATAATTTATGAGAAAAAAGAAAACATAATATTTTATTTCTGTCTGCTTGGTAAAATTTTCAGTGTTCTTTATTCCTTAGTGTGGATCTGAGTTTTTGTTTGTTAGTAACCCCTTCACCTTGTGTGACATTCTTTAGCATTTCTTACATTGCAGTTTTGCTGTCTATGAATTCTCTGATTTCGATTATCTGAAAATGTCTCTATTTCAACAAATTTTTGAAGGTTATTTTCCCTGGATATACAATTCTAAGTGGTCATTTGTTTTTCTCTTAGCACTTTAGGGATATTACTGCACTGTCTTTAGTCCTCCATGTTTCTGATAAGCAATTAGTGAATATGTAGTGAATATGGAATATGCTTATACTTTTCCCTCTATATGTAAAGTGTCTTTTTTCTCTGGCTGCTTTCAAGAATTTCTCTTTATCTTGACTTGAAGTAGTTTGACTACAAGTTGCCCAGATGTAGTTTTCTTAACAGTTATGCTAATTGGAATTTTTTGAAGTTCTTGGGACAGTATGGAGGTAGTTTACATTAAATGTGGAAAGTATTTGACCACTATTTCTTTTAAAATGTTTTGGCCCAAACTCATTCTTTTTTCCTTTGGGATTCTGATTACATGTATGCTAGACTGTCTTATATTGTACTACATGTCTCTTAGGCTCCATTCATTTTAAAGCCTTTTTATCTCCCTGTTCATCATATTGGATAATTTCTGTTGATCTGTCTTCAAGTTCATTAACTCTTACTTTTGCTATATCCAATCTGCTGATAAGCTCTTCTGATAAATTTTTCATTTTTCTTATTGTAATTTTAATTTCTACAAATTTCCATTTGGTTCTTTTATATAGCTTCAATTTTCCTGC